TTACAATTTGGTCATCAAACTTTGAACTTTGCCTTTTGTCCTTAATTTTTCTTATATTTCTTCCAATTCCTTGTTTGACCAATGAATTTTACTTTATAACATAAAATACAACAATTTAGGATATATTTTGTCTAAAGGACAACCAAATATCGATATTTTAGGTCATTGAATAAGTATATAAAATACATTTATCTAATATCCCTAAATTTAAACATTTATTTGCCTTCAAACAAAAAATAAAAGCAAACACACAAGCATGCAAAAAATTTTGTTAGACAATCTAGCTTTTACCTCAAGATTTGAAGTCACAATATTAAATCTACAAACTGTTTCAAAGTCACAGTACTAAATCAATATCCACTCTTCCAATGCAAAACTGACGTGTGTGTGAGGAACTGAGTAGACAATCACAAATTTACAAGTTGCTTCAATTTTTAACCCTCTGTGGTCAAATATATTCTTTCAACTCTTGTATGATTGACACACCACCAAATTTGTTTTTTCTATTTTCTTGGTGTGCAATCTAAGGTTGAATTTTTCATTATTATCCTCACACTCTCTAGTTCAAGTGGACTCTACTAATTGTAAGTCAACACATCAATAAATAATGATTCTTCAATTCTTTGATTGCTTCGACATCTATGACTAAAATAGGCTAATAATCCATTATCAAAAGTCAAATATTCTCAAATTAGTGTTTGGGGCTTAACCAGGACATTTGGTGGGTCTTCTGTTTTATGCACCTGCTTTTTTCAAAATTTCCCTGTTTTTGCACTTTCTCCCTTAAGCTTTCTATATGATCCATGTAACGAGTTTTTAGTTGATGACTTAAAATCAGATGATTTTGGACACCAGGTTGTAAATATCCTAACAGGCTTAATAATTCGAGTCATAAAAGCTACAAAGAGATGCTTTTTATATATTTTTCTACCCTGATTAATGCAATACCCCTCATTAAACACCTATCTAATCAAATCGACCTTTTAACTTAAGACTTGTCCAATTTTATCCCATTAATCTAAAACAATCTACACATAAGTTTCCACATAAGGAATCCAGTTTACGTCCGTATCTTCCTACAACCGTAAAATCATCCCCAAACTATGTTAAATTTGGTCTAAGCATCTATGTTTAATCAATCTACCTATCCAGCATATAAATCAATTTATTGCTTCATGATGTAAAACTCAATTCCAGTGCGCATTTAATATCAAGTTTTGTAGGGTTAAGCCTCAATCAATCTAGTATGCAACCTATTCACAGTTCATAAATCTACACCAAATCTCAAATTTAATCATCATTGCAAGATAGGTTATCCGACTCACACAAGCACATAGTCTAAGATAAGAAATATATATATATATACAAAAGCAATATAAGGAAGAATATAAGGGGATTGAGAAGAAAATGAACAAGAAAAATATATATATATATATACAAAAACAATTTTTTTATTTTTCTATTATATACTAAAGCAATAACGAATAACAAATACACAAACACTCAAAGACACACGAAAAGTAAAGACTCAAATTTTTTCCCACTCTCAAACTTAAAATCGACACTGCCCTAAATGTCATAAAGTATAAGAATATAAGGGGATTGGAAAGAAAATAAAGAAGACACTCCCTGAATTTTTCTATTGAATGTGTGAGGAACTATTTGTCAAGTTATCCCATCTTGTATTTTGCTAAGCTCCTTTCAATGCCAATATCCATAGTACCTATCAAGAGGGGAAGAAAACAATCAAAAGAATTTAAAAAAAAAAAAAACTTATTTTGACTTAATTAATGTTTTCCTTTAACTAGGCTAAGTATCAATGATGAAGATGACCCCCAAACAGAATTGAAACGTGCTTATAACTAATGCAACCTATAAATAAAAAATAACACTACATGCAATGCAATACGAAAAGCAAAATAAATAAAAGGGTTTGGAAATTGGGTTGCTTCCCAACAAGCGCTTAATTTATAGTCTTTAGCTAGACTGGTCATGGTAGTTCATGCTGGAGTCTTGCACCCTTACACTTTATAATTTTCAGCTTTGCATCCTCATTTTACCCTCCAAACCTTGAGCTCTCTATTCTCCTCTTGAGCAAGGCTCTTTAGACGTTTAGGTTTTGTCTCATTTGACCCTTGTTGAACTTCTTCAGCAACAAAGCTGGCTTCCTCTAGGACTAATGGTTGCTTAGATGAATTATGTAATTTAAAAATCTCATGTGCGTCCTCCACCGTCACAATCATCTCACTCTGACTTTTTGCTAAAAATGGTCGACCTGGTTCGTAACCAGGAAGTCCGCGGGGAATATCATCTTCTCAACCTTGATGAGCACATCCTCAACCTTGCCCCATAAATATTTGATGCTCCTATCTGTCAGCTGCAACGTTACATTCAATCTTTTGACTTCTCCAACTCCTATTTTCCTGAAAGTAGACAAATGTATTAAATTTACACTTGCACCTGTATCACATAA